GAGGGTGAGTTGCTATGTGTGTGTGTGTGTGTGTGTGTGTGTGTGTCTATATAGATTATAGATTATATGTGTCCTAACCTGTTTTTATTTATTTATTTATTTATTTTAACTGGGTCCTCTCTTCCTCCTCTCATATTTGCTAGGTATTTTATCTTCTATCAAATCCTTTATTTACCGAAGAAGAACCATAGCCAAGTTGAAATCTTTGAGGAGGAGGAGAGACCCATTTATATATATATATATATATATATATATATATATATATATATGTATATTTATATATATATATATTTATTTAATTAAAGAGATTGTGTGAATCAATTGTGAAAGTTAAAATCCATCACCAGTAAGCCTAACCCCACTCAATCAATTGTGAAATCTAATTTGGTCCGTGCAAATTGTCCAAGGTGGTTGTTGCCCCCTCTTATGCAGGTGCTTATGAACAGACCCATATGTATATTAATGTATATGTGATTTGTTGTTGAGAGATGAGAGGAAAGCAGAGAGGTATCGTGGCGGCGGCTGTAGGTGGAGGTGGCAGCGGTCAGAGAAGGTGACGGTGGGAGTAGGTGGAGAGGAGAGTGGAATGTGCTTATGAACAATCCCAAAATGGGTTTCGACCCAGGAGATGAGAGAGAGGTGGTATGGTGGTGGTAGCAACTGTGGGTGGAGCTGGTAGTCGATAGAGTAGGCGATGGTAAGAGGAAGTGGAGAGGAGAGAGATTGGAAGAAGAGAGGGGAGAGAGAATACACCAGAAATTTATAGGAAGTGGTGAATACATTTGATCGTTTAAAATTCACCGCAAGTCCATCACCTGAGGTTCTATGCACTGTCGGCTTCCATAGATGTTTAAGTTCTGTGCAGCGTCCTCCACATGTTGGTCACTATTGATGTAATGGCCCATTCCACCACATGGTATGATATTGTCCGCTTTGGACCTGAGTCCGCACGGTTTTACTCGTGTTTTACCCCAAAAGGTCTCATACCAATTGGAGATAACACCACCACATATAAGCATTTCACTTTTCCCTTACCCAGGCGATGTGGGATTGTGCACCCGTAGCTCGCCCAGTATGGTAGTCTGCCAGTGTCTCGCACCCACCCACGACACACCCGCTCACACGGTCATTACAATCCACCCCCCTTGGAGGCCCGACGTCCCCATCGGCACACTTATAGTTGGGTCAGGCTTTGAGGCCTCGTACCAATTGGAGATAACGCTACCACATATAAGCACTTCATCTTTCCTTTACTTAGGCGATCTGGGATTGTGCACCCGTAGCTCGCCCAGTACTGTAGCCAGCCAGTGTTTCGCACCCGACCATGACATACCCGCCCATAGGGTCATCACAATTGACCATTGACAATGGGTTTGACTTTGGTGGGTGATTGAATCAGGTGCTTTTCAGTTTTAGTCTTAAACGATCATTGGGCAAGAATGAAGCACGGCAAGATGGGCGTAATGAACGGCAACATGACTGTACCAGCGGTAAAGCCAGGATCAACCGCAGTTTCGATGTAGGTTTGACCGAGCGGCGGTGAAGCGGGTCTGACTTTCCCAGTGATGATGAACAAAGAGTAGCAAGATGTTCTTACCGGTGGGACTGGCGAACGACGATAATGGACGACGAGAAGCCAGGAGTGAAGCAAAACTGTATAGCGGGGTGATCTCTTATAGATTTGGAACCCATAATTAAATGACATTTTGGCCTTTTAATTTAATATACAATTTATGTATAAAAATTCATATACAATTGATGGGCAAAACTGTAATATCACACCGTTCCGTTAATAAGATAGACGGCAGTTACACTGAGGGGATGTAGGTGAAATATTGAAACGTAGAGGGGGGTGTAAGTGAAATATTGTCAAATGTTAGGGGGTGCAGGTGGAATTTACCCTATAGAGTTCTATACTCTCTATTTCTAACATGGTATCAGAGCTTTTTGATCACTGGTAAACAGTTTATTAGTATATCGTAGTCAACGCCAGGATGGCACCATTAGCCTCATTCTCGGCGGCAGTCAACCAGCAAACTCACGCTTCTGCACTCCTAAGATATCTATATGCCCCGTCCAGGGAAGCCTCGCTGTCTAAGTCTTCCTTCCGAACCTAATGAGATGCCTCATTTAGAGAAGCCCCGCCTAGGGATGCCCCATATAAGGAAGCCTCGTTTAACGAGATGCCTCGTTCAGAGATGCTCAATGTATCGAACCAGCTTCGTTACTGCGCCACCATGCGCCTCAAGTGGTAATTTCACTCTTCCATGCGCTTTCACGCGCACCAGCAGTAATCCCGTACCTCAACGTGTCAGATCAGCTTCGTCACTGCGTCATCATTGGTCATTTTGCGCTCATACGCGCTTTCAGCGTGGTGAATCTTCACAAATTCATCACCCATCAGTTTATAGTAGTTACCATCGAGGAGGACGACGTTAACCTATTCGCGCTCCGTACTTACCTCTGAGATCTTCACAGATCCACCCTACGTTACCTGAAACGTCAGCATTGGTACAACGTCAGACACATTCTGCAACGATGCCAATAGTTGTGCCACGTCACCTACCACGTCAGTTGCCATGCAGCAGAGGTGCCCGTAGTAGTGCCAAGTCACCTGCCACTTCAGTTGCCTTGTCATCAACCACGTTAGCATCGGTGCCCCGTTAGCTACATCAGGGTGAAAGGATTGTCTTCAAACTCAATATGGCTTTCTTATAACCCACCTTGACTTTGAGGGGGGCTGTTGGAATATATTCTATAATATATTGTTACTATGTATTATTAGAATATATTCTAGGCAAAAGAGCAAAAAACCCCCCTAAACTATATTATTGTTGCAAAATGGCTCCCAGAACTATTTTTGGGAGCAAGTTGCCCCCCTCAACCATTAAAAGCAAGCAAAATGCCCCCTTTAAGGTCATCGGAGACAACTTTTTGACCGGCAAAATGATACAATTACTAATTTACCCTCAGTTATTAATTTATTATAAAAAATATAAAATTCATGAATGTGAAATACCAATAATGCTCTCGTATTTTTATTTTTATTTTCCTCAGTTTTCCGCGCCGCAGAAAGCCGAAGCTAAGGCTTCCATCGCCCAAAGTGACGCCGGTGATTTATGTCGGAACAGAGCTTCAGATGGTTACTTTTTCTCAGGCATTTTGTATCATGCAATTGACAATGCATTTTCTTTACTTTTGCTCAGTTTTCTCAGCAGCCAAACTGAGACAAAAAGAAAGATAAAGAGAGAAAAAACCCATCTTGCATTACAAATCGTTATACATATATATATATATATATATATATATATATATATATATATACACACACACACACAAACAGAGAGCAACAGGGATTGATCTCATAAATACAAGGAATTTCAAACAGAATTCAAAGAATACGATGAATTTACAGAAAGAGAAAAGTGAAATTTTTAGGAAGAGTTTGCAATTGCACATACATGCATACATACCTTGGTGAAGATTTGGAGCTTGGGTTTGGGAGAGAGACGGAATGAGACCCTAGAGAAAGAATGAGACGGAATAGGTAAATAAGAGCTTGAATTGGGGGCAGTTCTGGTAATCGGAGCAGCTGAGGCCAAAGCTGTTGTTGTAAGAGACGACGCCATGGCTCAGATTTTAGAGAGAGAGAGGCGCAAGTGCTTCTGTTTGTGGAATTTCTGTGTGAGTGTTTGAGTTTCAAACAAAAAAGTAGAGTTTTTAGAGAGAGAAAGTGAGAGTGTTGGAGAATTTGCCAGAGTGGTGACTGGTGTGAGAGTTATCGATGATGATGGGATGGTCCAAGAGAGAGAAACGCCTTTTAGGTTGATGTAACCATTTGAATCACTGTTCCGGCATAAATCACCAGCGGCACTATGGCGATGGCAGCCTTCTTGGCTTCAAAAATAAAATAAAAATATGATGGCATTATTGGTATTTCACATTCATGAATTTTATATTTTTAATAAAATATAAATTAGTAATTGTATCATTTTGCGCGTCGGAAAGTTATCTCCGATGGCTTTAAATGAGGCATTTTGCTTGCTTTTAATAGTTGAGAGGGGCAACTTGATCCAAAAAATAGTTCAGGGGGGCATTTTGCAACAATTGTATAGTTTAGGGGGTATTTTACTCTTTTGCCTATATTCTATAATATATCATTACCGTATATAGCATTACCTTATCTGGTATTGACTTGCTCTCCACACATGACCTCTCCTATATAAACCCCCGTGTACTTTTGTATTACACATCTCATACAACAATACAATTGCTCTCTTTATTACTAACAATGCAAACATGCCACGAGGATGTCCTTTGCAGCGTGATACTTGCATTTTGCATATAATTTTTAAATTAGGTTACATGATTACGACATAGCTGTTGATTTTTTGAACGCATAGTATTTTATCATTTAAATCTCCTGGGCTGTTTTATCCTTTCGGATTTGTTGATGTTAGACTTCAGTTTTTTGCAAGGAGAAGTCATACGTCACAAGCAAGGAAGAGAGAGAAGCAAATTTGTTGCGAGTGGTTAATTGATTGACTCGATGAAAACTGTCACACTATATCCTATTTGTTAAATTATTATGGAGCATCAATGCATTCTCCTTGGCATTAGGCTTAGATGATGATGGGATAATGATCATGGTGGTTGGTGCTGCTCACTTGCTTCATGTTATTACCCCTTTTTTCGTAAAAGGAGAAGGGCTGCTCCTTTTCTAAGGTTTTAAATGGACCATACTCTTGACCAGGAGTCTCCTAGTCTATATGATCATTTCAACTGATTATGGCCTTGAAATTGAATGGGGTATATTTGGAGCGAGTAGTCTCCTTCTTCTTCTTATTATTTTTTTAGGAAAGATGTTGAATTGAATATTGCACTCTGGAATAGTGGAATACAAATGGTTGCTTAATTGAGACTGTGAGTGCTTAAATGTCCTTAGAATGTTGAATATGCATGTATTTGGACCTTTTCTGATCCACATAAAATGTTTTCAGATGATGCAGCTGGTACTTCAGAGGAGGATCTAAGCTGTGGAGAGGTGGAAGCAGCCGAAAGTCAAGAATCATCCGGTGCCCGTCCTGGTGACCGGGAGCTGAAAGACATGCTACTGCGCAAGTATAGTGGTTATCTTAGCAGTTTGAAAAAGGAATTCTTGAAGAAAAGAAAGAAAGGTAAGCTACCCAAAGATGCGAGGACTGTATTGATGGACTGGTGGAACACTCACTATAGGTGGCCATATCCAACGGTAAGTTCAAATGCAAGCTCACTTTATTATCATTGAATTCCTCTAAAGATTTTTTGCCATATAATAACTGATGGAGTTCAAAAAGGCCAAAAGAATATCATCCTGGTAAGCGAAGACATAAATTGGAACTTAAACATTTAAAATAGTTCAGGACTACCAAGTCTTGGATTGTCATGAAGTGCATTAACATTCACTACCAAGACCTTGATCTTCCATAGAAATTCAAATTACTTATAGTTCCTCTGCAACTAGTTCAGGTGTACTGGTAGTTATTCCAACTATTAAGAACTGATACCAGTTCCAAGACAGATTTATGTGAACATTTTTTTATCAGCATCGACCGTCCAAATTGTTAAGGATAACACTAGTACTTCTGTGGTGTTACATTCTGTGGATAACATGTGGCGAATACGATGTGGCGGTGTCTTGAATTCGGAATCAAATGAGTCCTTTTTCTGGAGATTAGAGGGTCAATGGGCCCAAACTTTGTTTGGATTACCCATTTCAGGTCTTCTAGATTTTGTCTTATATTTGGACATAATTATGAAGGACCAGATTAAAATTTTATTTTAATTATTTCATTTATTTATTTTTACCTTGGCAAGAAACTCACACACCCACTTTGCCTTTATGAGGACTTGAACTTTTTCCCTTCCACTTTGGAAGACGAGGAAATACCGCTAGGCTTTGGCATCAACCTTTTGTGAAGAACCAGATTAATTCTGAGAAAACTCGTTTGTTTTATCGATCGAAAGTTAGGGTTTACGAGGTTAGATGCATCCAGCCCTTTTTTGTAACCTTCTTCATATTTTAAGTGAAATTTCTTTCATCAATTTTGCTCGGAGATATGTTATGTATTTTGTTTGAATAATTTTTTTTCCTCATCTTTATTATTATGTATCCTTAATCTCAAATCTGTTGGAACTGATTGGAGTCCGAGTTTGGACCTAATTTCATAACATTCTCCATAAATTAATGCACATGAGTCGAGTCATTCTTGGATTTGTACATCTGCGCCTTACTCATGTTCGAATGCATGCTGAAAAGAAAAATGCTTTTTGCATAGCTCAAAACCTACAATGGAAGTTTATTTATATCATTTTATTATCCAAGCACATTTCAAATGTAGCTTGGAAATTTAAAAGATGGTTCAATTAGAATTGTTCGATTTCATTTCTTAACATTTCCACCGTGGTAGTCTGATTCAAATTACTCAAAAGAATGGATTTATATATGAATGATGATGATGCAGGAAGAAGACAAGGCAAAGTTATCAGAGGTCACTGGATTAGACCAGAAGCAGATCAATAACTGGTTCATAAACCAGAGAAAGCGGCATTGGAAACCTTCTGAAGACATGAGATTCGCTCTCATGGAAGGCGTCAGCAGTGGCATTGGAGAACCTATATACTTTGACACCGTGGGAGGAGCTCGAAGTGTTGATATTTAAAATGACTTTTTATTCAGATGAAGGATTTATTCTGTTCTTTTTCGTTTTACATTCGTGTAATTTACATATGGAATTTGCATGTATATAAAGGTGACTTTCATTCCCTTGATATACTAGTTCTAAATCTTTCCTTATCATAGAGCATTAGTTTGTTGGAAGTTCATGTGATTCCTCAACCAGTGTAGTGAAATAGATGGCATTGGTGGGGATCATTGTTGAGATCAATTTTTGATGGTTCAACAGACAAAGAGGGAAAGCTCACACCTCTCATATCTTCCACAAGAAGTTTGCCTCTCCGGAAACTTTAATCCAGGTACGACGTGAACCAAATTTATGGACTGCTGTGGAAAAATTATTTATGTGAACGTCATACCATGTGATCACAGATATATTCAAAACTTGCCAATGACATGACTCATGAGCCACTCTTGTAAATATGTGAAAGAAATCAAATCAAAATTACTAGCCAAGGAACAAAAATCCCTGACAAGAACCTCAAATTTTCACCGTCAAGTGCTCGTCCTACTAGGATGCAACATCACGAGGTCCATCGATTTCTGCCTGGAGACGACCAAGAAATTGACTAAGTTTAGTCGGCTATAGCAGCAAAATGACTGAACCTACTAGGATGCAACATCACGAGGTCCAAATCTAAACAGTTTACAGTGTTTTGCTTTGCTACAGTACACTACCAGCAATAAATAGGCTACCTAGACAAGAGTGACATCCGTCTACAGGTAGTTTCTTATTGATGGGCTTTCCATATTTTAGAACACTTTTAAGATTATTAAATCCAAACTTTGCCTTTGCTCGTGATGGATAGGTTCAATTCATGCCAGTGAATCAAAAAAATGTATTGCAAACATGGAAATGAAGTTTTTACCAATCTATCCTGGATTATAATCAGAGAATTGTGGCTTAGACTAAGCTTTCTCTCGGGTATCCAAAATTTACTTCTGGATTTTCCTTCAATATCCTCTATGTTTTGGGTATTAGACTGTGGTTTACAATCACTATGGCCCACTTAGTACTTAACACTTCGATTTTGAGTTCAAAATGGGGTGCAACTTGGGCTGCCCAGGCCCAACCCAAACCCAACCTCAACCTTTAATTTAGACTGAAAAGGTTATAAGATCTCAGTTCATTTCATGGTGTCATGCATCACTAAAATAGTTATAAGCTTCCACTATTACTCTCATATACAACAAACATGCCAAGTCCAACAGCACTGGGAAAGTCATTCTCCTGATTTTGTTTTCTTAGGAAACAAACAGAACCTTGTTTCAAAAAACTAGTTTTCAAAAGTCCCTTTAAAAAACCATATTTGATAGCTTGTAGTCCATAACTCTTCTAGATTTCCAACACAATAACAACCAAAAATCAGTATAGTTTATTGGTAAGAAACACAACTCACACACCTTGGCACGCTTTTTGTCCACACACGGACTCGAACCCCTAACCTCCGCTTTAAGTATGAGAGGTTATACCATTGAACTAGATGCCCTCTGGCTATATATATATAATGGACAATTGGACATGAAAGTGCACTATCCAAATATTTGAGCCAGTCACATTGCAAAACAAAATCTGTTATAACTACAGTAACCCTACCACATTAAAACACAAAATCTGTTGTCTTCAATTAAGTCTTAACCATCAGGCGACCTCTTGCAATATCCAAAAGTAGCCTTCTAGGCATGAGTAAGAGTAATGCCAAGTCTCTATCAGTAATCATATCATCCAGTCTTTAGTGCTTGAACCCCACAAATTTAATTGTATGTGCAAATTTCCACAAATTGGAGAGAGAATTTCAGTGGGTTGCATTTGATTATGGGATGAAATAGCATTTCATTTACTTGGAGAGATTTGTTACTAAGACCTAGAACCAATAACATATCAAGAATCAAATAGAAAAGTAAACATATCACATATAAAGAACATGAACTTTGCTCTCTCTCGCACTTTTTTCTGCGGTTTTCAGTGTTTTGTCGTGTCCCACTCTATGCTTATATACTATGCTACAATGAGTCCTAAACAGGGTTCAAGACCCGCAAGAGAAAATCGGGTCAAAATATTTTTCCCAAATCAGGTAGTGGCGCGATCCAAACAAAACTCGAGCCACAACATCACATAAATGAAACTTCATGTTGTGATTGAAGGAATTTTATTGGAAAATTTTCTCATTCATTAATCATTATTAAGAACTTTTTCAGAAGGATCAACAGGCTCTTGATTCTTAAGTCAAAGGACTATAATTTGAATTGTTATTTTGAACATATAACTCAAAATTAGACAAATTAATCTAAATCAAACCCCATAATAGATAAAGCTTGCTCTTGGAATCAAACCAAAAAAACCAGTCGTCTCAATGTGACTATTTTTGTTTTTTGTCTTTCTTCTCTGCTTCTTCTTCTAATCTTTTCCCACTGCAAGTGGGCAAGTTTTATCCCATATTGCAAAAAGAACAAAAACACAACAGAAAAAAGAGGAAGAAGATAAAGAGGCATGATATCAGCTAGCAACTGCAATGAATTGCATAGTTTGAACATTGAACATTGAACATTGAACGTTGGTCCTCTTAACTTCCTGCTTGTAACATTAAATTCATTATATAATTTTTATCATGATATGAAGAAAACTGAAGGAGCACATATATAAACATGTGCACACTCCATATATCCATATACATGAAGTAATACATACTTTAACTAGAGGGTAAAAAAAAAAAAAATTGAAACATGGGGGAGGAGTTAATCTTATTTCTTGAAATTCAAGTAAAAAGAAGGATTGGGGTGGTGGGAGGGAAGTGGAGGAAAGGAAAGGAAAGGAGGGTTTAATTATGAGAGATGCTCCTCAATGGTTAATTCCTCAATCATGTTCAGTTGCTTGAGGGGATTGAATGTTTGGATCTCGGAGCATTTGGTTGGCAGTATATTAATAGAGCCAAGCCCCTGATCAAATGAGTGCATAGGCATTGGAAACTTACGTGCAATGACAACGGAATTGATAACCTCATCCACGGGATGAAACACAGAGAGAACCTCAAACCCTTGAAGATCACAAGGATCGATTACCGGATAGAGAAAAGCCCGAGCGCCATGAGCACTCCTGAGCATCAAAAGTGCTCCCGGATCCATATAGTTAGCCAAATGATCGATGACTCGGATCTTTTCAGCCTTGTCCATACCAACTAGTGCAGCCAAGAACACAACATCGTAGTCTTTCAACTCACTCGTCACATTCATGATATCATTGGTGTGGAAGAACATTCGTTTCGACAAGTCTGGATCAGACGAAACCAAGCGAGACGCCATTGAATTGGCTGAAGGGTCGATGTCATAGTTGTGGAAAGAGGTGGAGGTGAGGTGGAAGGAGGCCAACACAATTGATGTGAAAGGAAGGGGGCCTGAGCCCACAAAGGCGACGCGGCTAGGGACATGAGTGCAGTGCTGACTAAGGATGGTGAACTCGAGCTGACTGAGCTTGATGTAGTTGGAATAGTATGGGAAGATAGTGAGATGGTCAAGTGGGTTGTCATATGAACCTAAGATGGTTGAGAAATGGCTCTCCAGAAGTCCTTCGGCTTCTCCGCAGAGCCTGATGAGCTTGGACCTGGTTTCCTGCACTCTCTTGTGGAGCTTGGGGACATCAATTGGGGATGGTGGCATGCACATGAGGACAAGTTGGGTGAAGAGCATGTTGACATCTTTGGATGGTTTTAGACTGTCGAGCCTCGAGATCTTCTCATACATCTCGCATACTCTCTCTACCAAAAGCTCATCTTCACAGCCCATGTTGACACTATGAGGTTAGAAGAGTTTCTCTCAAGGAATGCCCAACCAACAAGGCCCTCTTTAGAAAAATATTGTGAGCACACACTTCCCCAAGTCCCCCAATGGTCTTTATTTATGGGCACTTGAAAAGAGGGGTGGAGCTTGCTGCGGTTTTGTACATTACAACTTATCAAAACAAATAAAATAAAAAAATAAAAAAATTTATTCATTAAAATATTATTCCATAACAATTTTTATTTTATTTTATTTTTATTTTTTCTCACAAGAAAAGTACTTTCAATAAAAATATATATATACGTACACGTACATAAAACGGCAAACAAACTCATCGCAAAGAGGTTAAAAAATATGTCGAGCACGATAATTTAACAAGAGTCTTAGCCCATCTTTCATTGCTTATTTTTAGTCACTTTTATAAATAAAAAATTATTTTTTCTTCAATAACATATATGAATACATAAACACATGCATATAACCAATGAGCTTATAAGATTCACGAGCGACACAAATTCATCGTGAAGAGGTTAAAAATTGTGAAGAACACGATGTTTTTGCAAGATTCTCTAAGAGCATGTATTTATTATTTATTTAATATTTATCTATTTATTATTTTATTATCTATTTATTATTTTATTAATTTAATTTAAAAATTAAATAAAAAATTTAATTTTTTGTCTTTTTCCCAACGGTTATATTTCCAACGGCTATATTCTCAATGGCTATATTTCAATTTCTATATAAACCACTCATTCCATCTTCTTTTAATTATCAAGTTCACTTCTTTGCATTCTCAAGTCTATTCTCTGTTTTTTTGAGTCTTCATCTTTCTTATACAAAAAAACAATGGCTTCATCATCACGAGATATACTTGTCTCCGAGTCTATTTCTCCATTGAATTCGTCAGATTGAGATGGGGAAGATATTTTTGAAATCCATCGAAAAAGGATGAACGATGTGAGAAGATTATTATCGTCTGATAAGGTGCGGGCATTCTTTCAACCTCGTAAGAGAAATGATATTAAACGTGATCGAGAAGAGGCAGCACAACGACTATTCCGAGATTACATTGCTGAAAATCCGATTTATCCACCAAACATATTTCATAGAAGGTTTTGAATGCGACGAGAGTTGTTTTTTCGCATTTTGAACAGTGTTACAACATATGATGAATGGGTCATCCAGAAACTTGATGCCCTTGGTCGTACGTGGTTCACTCTTATACAGAAGATGACTGCTGCAATCTGTATACTCGCATATGAAATTTCAGCTAATCTTTGTGACGAATATATAAAGATTTCTGAGCGCATTGCGATTGAAAGCTTGAAGAGGTTTTGTGATGTTATAATTGCTATGTATGCGGAGCAGTACCAATGCTCACCAAATGCAGACGACATTGCACGTCTGCTTTGGAAAGGGAAGAGAGAGGATTTCAGGTATGATTGGCTTTATAGATTGTATGTATTAGGAATGGAAGAACTGCTCCACAATGTGGCATGGCACGTACACGGGAAGAAGCCATAAACCTACCCTCATATTGGAGGCCGTTGCATCGAAAAATTTCTGGATCTGGTATGCTTTCTTTGGTATGGCTGGTTCACACAATGACTTGAATGTTCTCGATCATTCCCTAGTATTCAAGAGCATGATCAATGGTATAATGCCTTCGGTTAATTATGTGGTGAATGGGTATCGGCGTACAATGGGGTATTACCTATCTGATGATATATATCCTAAGTGGGCAACTTTGATGCAGACCATCCCGCACTCAACAATTGTCAAAGAGAAATTATTTGCTAACAAACAAGAATTTGTTAGGAAGGATGTAAAACAAACGTTCGGCATATTGCAGATGAGGTGGCCTATAACGCATCAATCGATACTTTATTGGAATACAGAAGATCTAAACAAGATAATGAGAACGTGCATCATATTACACAATATGATCATTGAAGATGAGGGCGAACACGTTTTGCAATGGACACCTTCGACGGATAACCCAATCTCTCTTCCACATTACATTCAAAACCCATTAATGTTGGCGGCACACATTTCCTCTCGCCTAAGTAGGATTCGCAATAGATTAGATAATACCGATCTTAGGAGATATCTCATGGAACATTTTGTGGAATCAATTTGGTGATGAAGATATATAAATTTGTTGTAATCGAATAAAACGTAATTTTCATATTGCTGATGAATAAAAATTATTTTTAAAATTATTTTTTTCGATTATATTTGTTAAGAAATTAAAAAAAAAAATTATTATTTAAAGAAATATCCATTACATATATAAATAAAAATTATATTAACTTCCCACAGATAAAAAAAGAAAATTACATTACATTAGCTTCCCACAGTTAGAAAAATAAATTTATATTATATTAGTTTCCCACAGATAGAAAAAGAAAATTATATTAAATAACTTCACAAACTACCCCTTTTACTGAAACCTGCATAAATTTCATTTTGTTGATCAATGATCCATGTTGGAGCATCATTTGGATTTTTAAGCATCATTTCTCTTTCGAAATCAATTTGATTCTGCTCAAATTTTAACTTTTTCATTTATTTTTGCGCCTCAAATTCCAACATTTTCAATTCTTTTTGCGCCTCAATGTCCATACTTTTTGTACATTTTTGCTCCAAGCCTAAATCGAATGTAGCTTTCAATTTTATTTTTTGAGATTCGATTGCCAAGACATTCATCAACTCACTTTGAAGGGTAAAACTTTAAATTGTTCTAGAAATAAGTTATGTTGTACCACCTCTTTAATCTTTTTGCGACCCTTTTTAGATGTTTTTCGTCTCGTCCAGCCATGCGAACTTTCAACACTAATTGCAGGCGAATTGTCATCACCAAGGTTTACTGAACCTGGTGTTGATACTCCAGGTGTTGACGAAGTAGATGGATTGGTTTAGATTGTTGACGAAGTAGGTGGAACAGTTTATGGCCAATTTCCAGGCTTTTTCATATCGATCTCCATTGCTTTTTTGTTTTTCCCTTTATCATTGCTGTTAAAAATGGAATTCCATTTTGACGAATTCTTTAAAATACTCCAACAGTGATCCAACTTAAATGGCTTATTTTCTGACGTATTAAATACATTTATTGCATCATTGAGCTATAAAAAATATACAATAATTGAAATTAGTTAGATTGCCAATTAAAATAAATAATTTTTTTTTTAAATTACAAAGTAAAAAACTTACTGCATCTTCAATGTTGAAGCCACTAGGAGTATGATGTTGGATTTGTTTGTAATATTCAGAAAATTTGTTAATAGTTTTTTTAATGTGTGAGAAACGATTTTGCAAACCTGGTACATTTCAGGACGTCGTGCCCCCTGGTTGCCGAATAAAATTTTTGTGGATTCGTTGCCAATACGTGATTTTATGTTGACCCGAACTCGTTATTGGATCTTCCCCAATGTCAACCCATGCTTTGCATAATGCTTCATCTTCTTCAATGGACCAATTTTGTTTCGTACGCCTAGAATTATGTTGGGTTTGAGATGGTTGGGATTGAGAAGGTTGGGATTGGGATGGTTGGAATTAAGATGGTTGGAATTGGAAATGAGGTTGGAATTGGGGATGTGGTAGGTATGGGAACTAAGAGTATTGAGGTTGAGATAGGTTTTCGGATTGAAAAAAAATTGAATAATCAAAATTATAATTGGATTGCGGTTGTAATTCGGAGTTATGAGATTAGTTAAGATGGAGGCGAAAAAATGGAGGTAAAGGATCTATAGAGATGAATGTTAAAAAAAATATTGAGAGAGAGAATTATTGAATATGAGAATTAATATTTATAGAGTGTTTTTTTTTTTTTTTTAAATGAATAAATAAAAGAGCCATTTAAAAGAACTGTTTGATAAACAAATACTGATGCCATCAAAACATATCAAGATGCCGAGTGAAGATACAGGAGTAGTGAGCCAATAAAATATTACGCACAATGATAGAACATATCCAAACACATCTCTGTCGGTAGAAAAGAGCATAGAGAGGACTCTATGGGCGCCACAAAAATGGTACTTACTTTATGCGCATACCACCCCTCTCTCTACTTTTCAGACTTCTTCTCTATTAATTGCCGTACACTAGATGCTCTAAGTTTTACTCCTTATTTTAAGCACTTTGAATACATGTACAAACACATATAAAGCTTATAAGAGTCATACGGACGCACAAACACAAACTCAAACTGACACAATTTTATGTTTTATTCTTTATTTTAGGCACTTGGATTTTTATGACTAGCACGATAATTTTGTAGGAGTCTCTATGTTTTACTCTTTATTTTAGGGTATTTTAATTTTATAACTTATACATATAAATACATATATACATACATATAATGAATAAGCTTATAATAATCACGAGGACAAACTCATCAGGTTAAAAAACATGAAATCCATGATGTTATTGCACGAGTCTCGTACATGTTTTGATGCTTACTCTTTTTTTTTTTCGTCTCAAAATACATATACATATATATAATGAATAAGTTTTATAAGAGCACCATTTTTTCGCATGAATCTCGTCCATGTTTTACTGCTTACTTTTACGGGCACTTTGATTTTCTTAACTTACATACATGAATACATACATGATATAAAAATGAGCTTATAAGAGTCACGAGGACAGACAATCTCATCGCGAGAAAGTTAAAATACATAAACGAGCACGATATTTTCGCACGAGTCTCGTACATATTTTATTACTTACTTTTAGGCACTTCGATTTTCATAAATTTTTAATTTTTTTTTTCTAAAGTAGTTTAAAAACATATATGAATACATATACATATATATGAATACAAAAAGAAGGCAAAAGTGCAAACAACCCCCTTGAACTACCACAAATCGACAATTTACCCATTGGATTACAAAAATGAACAAATCAGTACCACAACTATCCAAATTGTGCAAATTAACCCCTGAAACGCAATTCCGGCCACTTTCTTGCCCACGTGACCTGTTATTTTCTTTTAATTCCAAAATTGCCCTCACCATAAATGAACCCATTTCATCCTTATGCTCTCTCTCTCAGGTCAATTTATATATTTGCTCTTTCTCTATATATATAGCAATACTCTAATCCACTCCACCTCTGCCATGGAAGACATGCCTAGATCCGACTTATTCTCTATGTGGGATTTCACGACGGAGCCATACGATCGACTTCGCCAACATGTATTGTGACAGCAACAGGATCATTGCTTTGAAGCTCGATTACCCAAGGGCCTGTTCGTTGCTCTAGCCGAGTTCACCGTCATCCCGGATTGGATCATCGATGCTCGGCC